GGAAGACCCATGGGGCTTTCTGATCAGCTGCTGTATCAATGAGCTCCATGTTCAGTAAGAGATTCCAAAAAATCTGAACGGTTAGGAAGATGACTGAATAAAAGTTAAGTGATCAATGCACAAGTGTAAGGACCCACATAAAAATGTAGGCAGGCATGGCAGCCTCCTGTGGTCCTAACCCTTGAGAGGCAGACAGGACCACCGCTGGCTAAGCCAGCCAGATTAGCTGAATTGACAACATCCAGATTCGGTAAGAGATAGAAAATGCCCAATAGCAACCTCTGGTCAGCATGCATGTACAACTCAAGCTTCATCAAAGGTAGCCTTTGAAGGAACTCAGGCCAGAGAGGTTTCTCTGGAAAGGATTATTTGTAAACTAATTGGGCCCAGAGTGTGTGCGCACATTAATGTAACTGGTAGAGAATCCTCTGGGATCTCAGTGAAACATTAAAGTACAGGCAACAGGTGTCCAGTATGGGAATGTCCTAAAAGCACCGTAATATGAAATAAACTCCACCAGAAAAGGTAGTGTCACTATGAACTAGAACATGGCTAATAAGGCATTAAGACACTTTGATCCTTAGTTTGTGTATAACATGACAAAAATGAGCTAGTTGGTTTAATGTCAACTTCGATTGTTTTGTAGTGTGACAGAATTTTTCCTCCATGGGAATTTGTATACATTGGGTACAAATCTTCCACTCCTGTATAGCAGCACACTAGCCTGTGAGACCACGTGCGGTTAGAGCACTTCAGTTACTAGACTAATGCTCAGACAGTTGATGTGTCTTACAGCGATGAGTTCTTGGGAAACAATGAAACGGTTCTTTTTTTTTTAAATTGATTCTTTGGGAATTTCACATCATGCACCCCAGGCCCACTCATCTCCAAGTCCCTACGCATCTGCCCCTTCCTCCTGTAGTGCCCCCCCACCCCCAGGAGGAAAGCTAAAAAATAATTTTAAAATGATAAACAAGAAAAGAAAAACACTTGGTTCCTCTGCCTTTCCCGCCTTTCCATTGCCTCTTCCTTCACCTTACTGGCATTGGGAGCTGCTGGGTATCCCGCAGTAGACCATTTTGTCCAAACTGCTTCACTTGCAAATGTACATTGTGTAATGAATTGCTCGTCAGATTCAAGACCTCTGGCTTTGGTACACCGTCAGTACTGGACCCCCACCAACATTCCTCTCCCATACCCTGCTGTTGTCTCGAGTGATGGAGATGCTGCACTGTGGTTCCACAGGATCAGTCCCTTCGCCCTCCAGCAGGCCATAGATGGAGTTAGGTGTTGGGGTGTGCCAACTCCAAGCTGGATGTGTTCCGGGGTAGCAGCTGAGCTGCTTGTATCAGGCAGCTGGGACCACTCCACTCTGGTAAGGAGCCGAGTCGGCTCTCCCAGGCCTGTGGTGAGGGGTGGCGTGAGACCTCCCAAGTATGGGAGCGCAGCTCTCCTATTAGGGGCCTGCCAGCTTTCCTGTGCGGGGAGGTGGGCAGTCATCAGGGTCCATAATCCCTTCTTGGGAAGTTCAGGATCAGCTCTCCTGGGGGGGGGGGGGGGGGGGGGGTAGTGAGGAGAGTGGGGCCAGCTCAATGTGGTCCTTGTACTCCAGCATTCTCATGGACCCCTGTGGGTAACACAGGCAGCGGATATCCACACAAACCTCAGCTGCTGCAGGACCGCGACCCAGACATGGCAGCAGCTTGGGGCTGGATGTCGCCATGGCCCCAGGTGGCAGTGCAGACCTCTCAGATCTGGATGGGCCCAGCAGTAGCGTGGCCCCAGGGCTCTCCAAACTGGCCCCATGTGGTAGTTCAGACCCTGTCCAGTACTGTGCGCCCCCCCGCCACACACACACACACACACACACACACACACACACACACACACACACACACACACACACACACACACACACGGCAACAGGAACAACGGACTTTTTAACACAGACTCTAGCTGTGTCAGGGCCACGGTCACAATGGTCCCCAGCCACAGCTCGGGCATGGATGTGTCCATGGCCCCGGGTAGCTGCACAATCCACGCTCATCTGTATGGCCCCAGTGGCAGCGTGACACTCGGGCACCAACATGGCCTCAAACAGCCAGTTCTTAAACAAATCTGTATGAATACCCCTAAAGGACCATGACCAGGCAGCACAAGCCATTACCTTCTTGGGCTTCATGTGTTGCTAACGTGCTAGGGCCTAGCCGAATGTGAACACACATGCTGAATGCACAGCTGACATATGAGACTTATACCTAGACTCCTGGTTCCCAAACACTAAAATACCCAGCGGCAGCAGCAGCAGCAGCAGCAGCAGCAGCAGCAGCAGCAGCGGCAGCAACGCTCTTCGGTATTAATTTAGTTCTAGTGGAAGACTGGTTCTTACTATGATTCAGGATTACACCAAAAAAACAAACAAAAATCCATGTTTATATATACTCACTTTCCTGTCACTTTCCAAAGGACAACTGAAATTTATTTAAAAGACCTAAATTCTTGCCAGGTTGTGGTGGTGCATTCCTTTAATCCCAGCACTTGGGAGGCAGAGGTAGGTGGATCTCTATGAGTTCAAGGCCAGCCTGGTCTATATAGAGCGAGTTCCAGGACAGCCAGCACTACACAGAAACCATGTCTCAAGAAAACAAAAACAAACCCAGAACATAAATTCTCTACAGAAAGCTGAGTATGGTGGCATATATGCCCATAATCCCAGCACTTGGGCAAGGGATGAGGGAGAGGAGTTCAAGGTCCTGCTTAGCTGCAAGAGGGTTCTCGGCTGGCATGGGCTACATAAGACATTGTCTCAAAAAACAAACCAGAGAATTGGCCAATGGTTTATTACAGCATTCTAATTTTGTATGTCCTACACCTTTTATTTTTCATTTAAATTTGCAGAACATGCTGACGTGTTCGAAACTACATGAATAGAAATATGTATAAAAACCATTCCAGGCAAGATAGAAAGATGCCATAGGATGAGTTGGATGGAAAGTTCACTGATACTGAGCTGAGTATGGTACCATTGGTCTAATCAGAGCACTTGGGAAGTACAGGCAGAAAGATCAGCCTTGGGTACAAAGCAAGCATGAGGCTATGTGGTGGCATTTGTAGCTTGAGTTTTCCTGACTGGCCCACAGTCTGGATAAATCTCTGCCACCCGCCAGTCCCACAACCGCTCAGACCCGACCAAGTAAACATAGAGACTTATATTGGTTACAAACTGTATGGCCGTGGCAGGCTTCTTGTTAACTGTTCTTACAGCTTAAATTAATCCATTTTTATTAATCTATACCTTGCCACGTGGCTTGTGGCTTACCAGTACTTTACATCTTCCTTATCCTGATGGCGGCTGGCAGTGTCTCCCCCACCCAGCTTCCTGTTCTCTCAATTTTCTTCTCTGTTAGTCCCGCCTATACTTTCTGCCTGGCCACTGACCAATCAGTGATTTATTCATTGACCAATCAGCAACACATTTGACATACAGACCATCCCACAGCAAGGCTAGCCTAGACCACATGAAACCCTGTCTTGAAAGGGAAAAATAACAAAACAGACATGGTGGTGCTTGCCTTTAATCCTAGCCCTGGGGAAGTTTAGGCAGGTGGATCTCTGAAGTGGCAGCTGGTGTACATACCGAGTTCCAAGCCAGCCAAGGATACATAGTGAGTAAGACCCTATTTTTTTAAGTTTATTAATATCTCTTCAAAGAAGCTCTTCATATTAGATATAATTTTCTCTTACAGGAATTATTCTAGGTGATAAAAAATAGACTGGTATAAACTTGAGAGTCACAGCACAAAAGGGGGGAAAAGGACTGATGGAATCTTACAATAAATTAAAAACAAAATACTTTTAATGTGTCAATAACCAAAGGATACTACATTGTGACTGGAAAGCAATGAGTATTTTTGTTAGGAAATCTAGCTAAGTACTATGCTGCATTAGCATTTTAGACAGGAAAAGCATGACCCTCCATAAATGCCTCTTGCATATGGTAAAACTTAGTGCCCAGTCCTAATTCTAAAGGCAGCCTCTCCAATCAACAGAGCAAAACCAAATTACTTTAGAAAAGATGCTGAGGCAATCGGATAGTCAGGTAGAGGGAAGAAGTTAATTGGACCTGTACTTTATACCATATACCAAGTTAAAGTTGGGTCAAAGATCCAGAATTTATGTCTATAGCTTGTTTCAAATCAAAGTCGTTTAAGAATTTTAGGTAAAACTAGGAATCCATATAATAAATGAAAAATGAACTTTAGTTTCATAAAAATCAAGGTTTCTTACATGGCTTAACAAAGTCAAATCAACCACAGAAGAAAACATTTGCAATGTAATTAACAGATGGCTACTTTTCCTAAAACCAAATAAGATTCTATGACTGAAAATTGAAGTTTCTTTGACACCTAAATCTCTTACATGGAGAACTTTACACGTCTTGGGCTAATTGGACTTAATTGAGAAATAAGCACTTCTTGTTTATGTCATTGCTATTTAGGCTTGTTTTTAGATGATTTCTGCTTTTCATTCTGTGAAGAACTTGCTACCAGAAGTGCGATCCTGTAGACAAGAAAGGATGGCACCAGCTAAAAGCTGTGTCTGTCAGCACTTGGGTGCAGTACATCTGCTTTGTGTTACCTCTGCCCCTAGCCAAATGGGCAGAGTGGCATCCTTTAATCCCTGTGCAGATAGAAAGTCATTGCTAGATCACTCTCCTCTCTGAAATGTTCAAAGAAACATCTAAACTTACTTTAATTTATAAAATCAAATCTTTCAAGGATCATCATATACCAAATACTGATCCAAACGTGTCCCCAAAGCTACTGAACCAGGCTATTAGACTGCTCATCCCCTCACTTGTAACCTACAGGCTTCATATCCAAAGTGATACCACCAATAACACCTAATATTGAAGGAAAATTAAGTAAACATTGGCTCAGACCCAAGCCCATTGTCTCTGTTTTTCTGTTACTGTGTAACAAATGACCTCTAGGCCAATGTTCTGACACAAGTTCATTTATTTCCATTTCCATCCATTCAGGTGTGTGGTGTTAGCAGGATCTTCTCTTTGTGGTGTTTCTAGGCAGAAATTGAGGGGCTGTCTGGGCGCTGCAGTCTCACCTGAGGCTTGGATTCCTCTTACAAGTTCATGTGGTTGTTGGCCAAATTCAGTCCCTTGGGAACTGAATATGGGAACAGTGAGAGTATAATGTTTATTACCCAATTACAAAATAAGTTTAAGAGGAAAAAAGCTTTTAATAATTATATTGAAATAGCAAAAAAAAAGAAAGAAAAAGAAAAAGAAAGAAAGGAAGGAAGGAAGGAAGGAAGGAAGGAAGGAAGGAAGGAAGGAAGGAAGGAAGGAAAGGAAGGAAGGAAGGAAGGAAGGAAAGAAAGAAAGAAAGAAAGAAAGAAAAAGAAAGAAAGAAAGAAAGAAAGAAAGAAAGAAAGAAAGAAAGGAAAGAAAGAAGCTCTCCTGGGGAAGCTGTCATGGGATCTCACACAAATAAACTACAGTGAAATTTGAAAGCTGAGAGTCCATGATAGCCAGGAATGTAATGGACAGTGGTGAACTCTCCAGGAACAATGAATGAACAAGCTCTTCCCAGAGCACAGCTGCTCTATGGCACTAACCAAAGAACTCCATTGCCAGAGTAGAGAGACCCTGACATTTTTAAAGACACAGTTTCTTTTTGTTTTAACTAACATGTACCAATTGAATGTATTTGGCACATAGTGTAGTATTTCGATACATGTATATAATGTGTCATGATCGAATCAGGGTATCAGGCATGTCTACCATTTCAATCATCATATCTCTGCTGGGAACATTTATATCTAAAATCCTCCCTGCCATCTGTTTTGAAATATCCCATTAACTGTCAACCACAAATCCTGCTGTGCTGTAGAACATTTCTCCTTTCCTCCTGCACCCCAGCAGGGTTGACCAATGTGTTTTCTTAGTCACTTTCTATTGCTGTGAATAGACACCATCGTTGTGGAATATTATTTTAACTGTGTAAAGGTGTGTTACATTTGTTTCTTCTGCTTTTGTTAGTGATGCAAAGACGTGTTACGTTTGTTTGATTAAACAAAATTAACCTGGGGTCAAGAGGCTGAGTCAGCACCTAGCTGACAGGAAGTGGTAGGGAGGAGCCATGTATAGCTTAAGTGGGGGCTGAGCAGAAGGATGGCCCTTTTTTCGGGATACTTAAGCAAGGAGAGGTTAGCTTTTTGCTATTCAGCCTCTCTGAGCTAGCAGGATTTCATCTCAACCTTTGCATCCCAAGTTGTATAGAAGAATAGCGGTTGAGATAAAGTTTCCTTACTAGCCATGATAGAGCGAGTGCCTGAGGGAACAGAATTCCTCAGGAACAGATTTCCTGCCTGGCTGCGACCCCAGCAGCTGAAGTGCTGTTGGTAGCTGTGGAGTTGCAATTGTGGGTTGGGACAGCAGTTGCTTAAGGTGCAGCGACTGTATCGAATGCAAAACAACAGGCCATGACCAAGGCAACTCTTATAAAAGAAAGCATTTCATTGGGAGCGCTTGCTGACGGTTTCAGAGGTTTGTCCACTATCATTGTGGCAGGGAGCATGGCAGCACACATGTCATTGGAGCAGTGGCTGAAAGCTACATCCTGATCTGAAGGCAGAGAAAGAGAGAGGGAGAGATGACAGAGACAGAGAGACTGGGCCTGACATGGGCTTTTGAAACCTCAAAACCTACCCCCAATGACACTTCCTCCAACAAGACCACACATCCTAACCCTTCTAATCCTTTCAAATGGCGCCACTCTTTGGTGAAAAGCATTCAAATATATGAGCCTATGGGGGCCATTCTTATTCAAACCCTCACAGACGTCATGTCCTTTCCATTTTGTTTCATTATGAATTGTGGTTCTAGCCCTCCACCTTCGCTCTACGTAGTGTTGGGGTGACATCTCTTCCTTTCTACATTACTATTAATACTTCTTATTTTCCCCCGTGAAGAGACATGTGGATTCACCAGTCATCTTGGACTTTGAGCAGACTGGAGGGAGAGTCTGGGTCTTGGGGATGGAGGGAGGGGGAAAGAGACCATCAGTGTGTGGCAGGAAGTGTGCACCACAGAGGCGGATGGGTATCCTGGGACACAAACTGGTCGTCACTCCTGTGAAGTCTGCCTGACCTTGCAGAACAGGGACACGTTCCATTTGGGTGGCTGTATGACAGTTAAGGCTAATGAGAAGATGTGAGTACCACAGGGCAGCTTTGGGGGTCACCCCACGTCAGAACCTCGGCTCTCCCTTGTGATATCCTGGTCTTGTCCTGTAAGCTGCCTGAAACTTACATGCTATCCTCTCACATAAGGTTCGGGCACAAATGGCGTTCGAGCCTTGTCTTTGGCTCTCTGAAGTCCCCACCAGCTGGGCCCAGCTACTTGGATTTGTAACAGGCAGGGCTCAAGTTCCCGTTTTAAGTCACCTTTTTTCCTTTCTTATCTGACATGTCTTCAACTAATCTTAAAGTTAGAATCTCACTCTCCTCCTCACCCTAACTCCTCTGATAATTAAAAAGAAAAAAAGAAAAAACTCACCAGATGGAATTTAAGATCTAGCTCAGTCAAAGGACGGGCATTTTTAAAACTAATAAGCTCTATTCAGGGAACAGCTTTCAAAAATATAAAGGAAAAGGGTGGGAAAAGATTTTGTCTTCTTTCAAGACATGTACTATTTCTTTTTTAAAAGTCAGAAGTTACACCCAGCAGCTCTCACCAGCATGACTGCCTAAGCATGAGCTGAACAAGGATGACAGCAGCAGACACACTGACCTGGATGGGAAGACCAGGAGGCCGCAACCCTTCACGAGGAACTATGGGCAAGGAGGAATGCTGAGAGCGCGAGACACAGTCTTCCCCGGGGAAGAGCACGCTGCTTTGGCTACCCAAAGCCAAGCGGTCAGGACTGAAAACGCACAAACATATAATATTACATGGACTGGACAAATTATATTGCAGAATACATCTGTACATACATAGATGCATATGAAAACAGAGGGCATTAATTTGAAATAGAGAGCAAGGAGAAGCATATGGGAGGGCCTGGAGGGAGGAAAGGGCAGGAAGAAATGATGTAATTATCTTATAATCTCAAAAATAAATATTTAAAAAAATTATTTTACTAGAGAGAGAGATTGCACGAGTGTGGTCAGAGGAGAACCTTCTGGAGCCTGTCCTCTCCTTTCCCCATGTGGGTTTGGGGGACTGAACTCCGGGCATCACTCTTGGTGACAAGCACCTTTACCAGCTGAGCCATCTGGCAGGCCACACTGAACATCTTTTACAAAATGTCTTAAGTATTTGTGGTGGTTTGAATAAGAATGACCCTCATAAGCTCATATGTTTGAAGGTTTGGTCCGCAGTTAGTTGAACTGTTTGGGAAGGATTAGGAGGTGTGGCTTTGTTAGAGGAGGTGTGTCACTGGAGGTAGGCCTTTAGGTTTCAAAAGCCCACACCAGGCCCAGGGTCTCTCTCTTCTCTCTCTCTCTCTCTCTCTCTCTCTCTCTCTCTCTCTCTCTCTCTCTCTCTCTCTCTCTCTTTCTCTCTCCCTCCCACCCCCCTCCCTCCCTCCTTCCTTCCCTCCTTCCCTCTCTCCCTTTCTGCCTGTTACCTGTGGATCAGGATATAAGGATCTAAGCTCCTGCTCCAGTGCCATGTCTATCTGCTTCCAACCATAATGGTCATGGACTAACCCCCTAAAACTGTAAGCAAACCTCAATGAAATGCTCTCTTTTACAACACTTTTCTTGCTCATGATGGCTCTTCACAGAAATAGGACAGTAACCAAGATAGTATTCTACAGAATATTCACTGAGCCCATTAGTGATATCACATTTTTCTCTTCCGCCTTTTACCTATTAATTTTATGTTGTGCAGCTTCTGCTTCTAGAGATGCCATTAATGTCTTCACTCAATGTTTCAAAGCTCTGCGTAAAAGGGAAAGCAGTTTGTGACTATAAGCATATGTTTGGGTGGGATGATGAGATGGGAAATGAATCTAGTGCAGTTCTTGAAAGATGCCACCAGGTGTCACTGTCCTCATTCCAGGCGGATCAGATGTGCGCGCTATTGTTCTGAAGACACCCTGTTGGGATGTCCTGTAGGTATCCCACATCCAGAATACCCGAGCTTGTTGTAACTTGGCTGTTGTTCAGCAGAAGGATGCTGGCAAGCACTTCTTTCCCCCACAGCACCTGAAGAGACGGTCCTTAGGATGTGGAAATATCTAGCAATACCTCTACAAATATTTGTAATAAAGTTTGTAAAAATGTTCTTACCTGCTTTGAAGTTAATTCACATTTGGGAACTTAGGATCCCTCTTGTCAGAAAAATGCACTCATGTGTGTTTGTTAGCTCCCTTCCTTCTTCCTTCCCTTCCTTCTGTTTTACAACACTTACTCACCTTTTCACAAGTTTAGGTTTCATGGGTTTCGTATTCCAACATTCCTAACCTCAGTCATTTTCGAACAATTTATGGGAGATTTAGCACATCTCCACCTGAGAAATTTTCACCATGATTTACTTACTTGACAAGCCTTTTCCAAGTACCTTTGGGCTCCAGATGGGTGGGAAGGCAGGTGCCATTGGCACAGTAGGGGTCTTTGTTAGCCAGGGAAGAGGAAGAGGCACTGTACACGTCAACAACACCGTGTCAGGAAGCACTGAGGAGGTGGCTCCGCTGACAAAGTGCTTGACAAGCACCCACCAAGCCCTGGGCGCAGTTCCCAACAAAGCACAAAACAGAACATGGCGGCGCACACCTGTATCCCAGCGCTCGGGGAGTTGAAGCTGGAGGATCAGTGAACTCATATTCATTCCTGGCTACATAGAAAGTTGGAGGCTAGCCTGTGCACGAGACACTCAAAACAAACAAACAAAACCAGGGTCGGGAAGTGATGAGTGTTTAAGAACAAACTAGAAAGCCTCAGTCAGTGTGCTGAGAACAACTGGCTTGGGGGCCACCCCAATGGATGAGGGGGCCCCACCCCAGCGGATACATCTTCAGTCCTGCCCCTATACCCAAGGGACTGTGAGAGAAGAAGGGGCAGAAAAACTGTCAGATCCAGAGGACCAGGCACCTGCTTCGAGATAGGGTCCTCTAGACATGACAGTGATGCTGTATCCATGAAATCTTAACAATAGAGA